CATGGAGGAACTTTTGTGGAGAAAGCACAAAAGAATTGGATGTAACTGCATTACCCTGTATATGTTTTTGATTTGTAATGTTGCTGTGATTTGTTTATTAAGCTTGATCATACCTATTCTTACTCAATTGCTATAGACGAAACTTAAGAGTTGAATCTTTAAATAGCTGAACACGAAATTCAATTTCATTCCTTATATAGGGGTCAAATCGGAGCATCCTCCGATGAAGCTGAAGAAATTAATGAACGGGAGCTTCCAAATGGAGAAGAAAATAAGAAAATCGAGGAGAAGCCACAAGAAAATGGCAATCAGATTCACCAAGAAAACGGCGATCAGATTCAGAATAATGAGAACTTTTCAGGCTGTTGCCACGGTGCTAATAGTGATGGATTTACATGCTGCAAAGAAGTAAGTTTGGAGAACGGTGGAAGTGAGGAAAAGAAGCTGGAAGAAACCAGAGAGTCGTGTGCCTTAGGGAAGCTGTCAAGCTTGATTGGGAACTGGGAGCAAAGCGATGTTCTCGCAGCTGCTGCCGTGGTTGGAGCAGTACGTGGCATCAGTGGCTGTGGCCTATATTTTTTATAGAAGGTCGGGCCGATAGATGTTATAACGTCAATTAAATAATCCTCCGAACCATGCTCTTATATGAACGGAGAAATATAATAAATTGTTGAATGGTTTTGTCTTGATTGGGATTTCTTATGAGACTGTTTGCTAAGTATTGATGTGGTGTGTTCTAAGCTCCTGTGATTATTTTCGATTTGCCTGCTGGACTTATAATTCAACCGTCGATTCTGTCAAATTTTATGGTAATTTATTGTGAAAGAAATCTCGATTTTGTTGTTTATGAATTTTGAAAGAGAGAAAACGACATTGTTGTCCTCGTCGTTTGTTCAATAAACAAGACAAACGACTGTGTGCTAACATCTTAATCTGCTTAAACTATTTTTCAGATATACGGCATTGTTGTCACGAATTTTACCTTCATTCTAGAATAGTTTTTCTTTTTTTCTTATGGTGGTTCTCAAACTCAATCTCATGTGGTACTTCAATTGTATATGTTAACTCAATTTATTTTTCTGTTAAATATAGAGGGCATAGCAAGGATTTTGTACATCCACCTTTTTTTCTCTCCATTTTTTAGGTTGTGGGATGAATTTTAAGTTTATCATCTCTACTTAACACAAAAACAGATGAAGTTGATGAAAAAGATTTGGGTTTGATCGTAAAACCAATGATTACAAGTTGGTCTTAATTCTTGTATGCAGCGATACAAGAAGGGGGACATCTTCTCATGTGAATGTCGTACTATATAGCTTGCGTTCTAATTCATGGAGAGAATTAGATTACTCTTCTCCGTTTGATGTAATTTGGTATTGGGATTACCCTTACTCTAGTGAGACTGACATCTACGTCAATGGGAATTCTCACTGGATGGTCAGTAATGATACTGATACTCACAGTGCAATTCTTTCTTTCGACATGGCCGATGAAGTGTTCCGATTGATTTGTTTTCCAAAGTTACCGGAATTTTTACCGGACGGTGGTACACATTTCAATATTCATGCATGGAACGATGATTCTCTTTCCGTGGTTGTTCAGCCAAAGTCATATATTCCTGACTGGACTTGTGAAGTATGGATCTTGCAAGACTACGCTGACGATGAATCTTGGACTAAGCGAATCACGATAGGGCCAAATGAAGGCATTGCGAGGTCATTGGAGTTATTGGGATTACGGCGAAGTGGAGAATTTCTTTTCCAATGTGACAAAGAAGAAATTATGATCTCGTACAACCCAAAAGATTGCTCAGCAAGAGTTTGTGGATCTGTGCGAGCTTATTATTCAGAGAGCTTGGTTTCAATCATAGGGAATTGACGGGACAACCAAAATATGTTGTTTGATATAGTTAAGGAAAGTGATGATCCAACTCTTCAACAATACACATCTTCGTAAGGATCATTTAGTTCAGTGTTTAAATTATTGACTCATTATTCTTTTTATTTTTTTGTTGTTCTGTCGCCTAATCACCAAATGAATTGCAATTCCTTCTTTTGTTTCGTTGATACAATATTTGCCTCAACATTTATTTCCAGCGGGATGCTTGCTTGATATTTTTAAGCATATGGTATGGTTCTCGCTTATTGGGACCAAAATATTAGCATGTCTGTTTGTCTTTTAATGAATACCACGATGTATTTAAAATAAAGAGCAGTTGATCTGAAGTAGGAGACGACAACTTTTCAATGTGCAGGAATATATCACGGTACAAGTATCATCATATAAATGATTGAATATTTTTTTTTTATTCAAGTATCCAAACCGAAATGTGTTTTCTGCATGCCAAAAAATCTCTCTTAGAAGGCGCCGTAAAATATATCATAATAATTAAATATTAAACTCTTGTAAGTCCTCTCATTTGCCTTAACGTTTGTACTTCAATCCATTTCCCTCCAACCTGATATCTAAGTCACACGTCCTTATTGTCCATGTCAGATTTGTCACTTTCAAGTTTCAGAAACGCCAAAGTAATGTGTTTTACTTTCTAATTTACCCTAAGACAATGGGTAATTCAATTATTGTGATGGGTTTTTGGCCTTAGTGGCTACCCATAGGGCACTTTCTGGAAGCTCCAACTGTAAAATTGCTCTCAGTTAATTTAGCTAGAACAATGTGTGTATGTTTTATGTTTATGCACATATTGAAAATATTCTCTTTATCAAATCTTAGACTCGATAATATAAATAGACATTCTATTATCGTATATATTAAATTTGATTAAAACAATGTGTTTATTTCATAGAGTTTTGACTCAATAATTTAGTTTAAATTAATTAAAAGATTGCTCAAATATATGTGTATTTTTTAATAAGGATTAGTTGAGTTGTAAGGTTTAGATTTGAGTTCCGTTGCAAGCAACCATTCTTGGTGAACCATATGTAAAAACCAAAAAATGATTAAGACCTCATTTTGTAAGTTCTTAAGGAGACTTGTGGTATGCCCTGATCTTGGGATGAAGTAACTTTCCTTTTCCCTAAACTTTTACAAATTAAATTTATAAATCAGTTATTTAGTAGTCATTTAGTACTAAGATCTAGTAGTATTCCCTTTGACTTGCTAGTGAGGTGAAAGTTTTCTGTGTGTTGTGAACACGATCCGGTAGACCAAGTGTCATAATACAATTGTTTGATTTTTATTTTAAAGTTTCCAACCAATTGTAGTGCTACATCATGTTTTCAATACATTGAAAAATCGTTTATAAGCGAGAGGTCTTTAAGTCTAATACTTGTCAAAGTGAATCTGAACCAAATTATTATGACTGTCTCATTGTGAAGCTTAACTCACTCCCTCCACCACTTAATATCACATATAAATATATATATATATATATATAAACTACTTATTTAGTAAGTAATTATTTTATTTATATTATAATTTAGGGATAACTTGATATAGATCCAATTTTGTGAGCCATTAGTAGAATTAGTCCACTTCATTGAAATAGGTCCAATAATTGAGATTCCATGTATGTTTATTTATGGTTTGTACCATATTTACCCCTTAGGCTTACGAATTGTAGTAAATACACAAAATTTCTTAATTATGAGATAATTTGTGGTTTAACTAATCCCTTAATTGTAGGATTAGTTATAGCCGTATAATCACCTCAACCCCCAGTGTGTTTCATCCCTCCTTTTTTCCTTCTTCCAAACAATTCCCTCTATCAATCCTCCTCTTTTTTGTCTCTTCTTTTCATGGGTGATATTTTTGTGTTCTTCCCTCCAAATTCGTTCCTTTAATGGAGGTATATTATATCATATTTATATTTTTATGTTCCACCATGTAGGTTGCCAGCATTTTTCTTCCAATACAATAGGTAGTTTATTTTTGTTTTGCAGGTAGATTATATCTGCTTTGTAGGTATAAAACATTTTCTTCCTATACAATAGGTAGGTAGTTACTAGATTATATCGGTCTTGTTTTCTTCATAAATAGTAGGTAGTTACTAGATAATATTTTAGTTTGAGTATTTAAATATTCAAAATTTAAAAACTGAATAAATGATAAAAAAACATTAAAGAATTTAAATATTTTTATCTGAAAGGGTAAAATTGATATCAAAATATGTAATTGGATAATTGGACTCGGTCCCAAAAACTATCTAAGTTTTTGGACCTAGATCCAAAAGCCCCTATAATTTAAACTATCTATTAACGAAACTCTCTTAGTCCATCAAAAAAGAGTGAAAAAATCAAATTAACAACTTAAATAAATTAATAAATTAAAAGTTTTGTAGAATATAGTAAATTACACACAAAATACTTTTAATTTTTTCAAATTTTTTTGCTCTTATACTAATTTCCTCTCTCTCTCTCTCCCCCCAATTCCCAATAATAAATCTAATCCACTATCACTGTTGATAGATTTTTCAATATGACAAATATACAGAATAATACACCACATATCATTATACAAATGATGAAACTCACTGATACAGTTTCTGTCAGTGGCCATTTTAAAATCGTGGGGTTGTTGGTGGGTGCTTCTGGGATTTTAATCTTTGCCCCTAAACAAAAGGCACACCCTAGATTTGTTGGATACTCAACGGGATGGGTCTGTTTTCTGAAACCTACAATGCCAAGCAAGTCCTTTTATTATAGAAAGTCTTCATCTTTCTCCCCCTTCAATCATACAAAGTCTCCTTCTTTTATTACTTTTTTTTTCCATTTTTACCCAGACCAAAGCTTCCTTCTGTACTGTTTTTGTTACACCGAATTATTTCGAACTCTACTAATTTTAAAGACTAAGTTGGACTTAATAAAACATTTGATGCAATAAAAATAGAATAATAAAAAAATATTTTTCTTTTTTATTTCTTTTTGTCTTATTATATTTATTTTCTAAGATTCGTACAGCGTATAACACATCAAATAGGATTAATAATACGAAGTTAGGTGTTTGGTGCTTTTATGTATTAATAGTCACCTCGGATTAAATAATCCGACGCCACCCCTTATATCCGCCTGATACCGCTTAGTTATACCGCTCAAAACCCCGGTATTGTTTAGTCGGGTAGAAAGCACGCCTCTCGCTCTCTCCGTCCTCATCGCCTTCGTCCCGAATCGTTTGCTCTCTCCATCTCGCAACGCTTGCAACTTCTCCTCCTCCTTCTCTGTTCTGCCCTCCAGCAACTTCTCCTCCTCCTCTGTTCCGCTTTCCTGCAATTTTTCTTTCAATTTTTCCTGCAATATTTCCCAGATTCTCCTCCTCCTCCTCCTTCTCTGTTTCGCCCTCCTGCAACTTCTCCTCATTTTCTCTGTTCCGCCCTCCTGCAATATTTATTGCAATTTTTCCCAGGTTCTTCTCCTCCTCCTTCTCTGTTCTGCCCTCCTGCAATTTTCTTCTTCTTCTCTCACTACTCTGCCCTCCTCCTCCTATTTTTCTTCCAATTTTTTTTTTCAATTGATTGCAGATTTGCGTTTTAATTAAAATTTTAGGGTTTTCAGTTTTCAGATCTTAAAAAAAAAAAAAAGAAATTGATCTGTTATTTTTTTGCTTGTGCGCCCTGAGTTGGGTATGTTGCGAATTCAAACCCAGTTGAAGAAATGGGTTAGGAGATTTTTCCAACTTTTTGGCTTTTTGGTGAATTCATAATATCATGCATACTGGGTTCGTGTGCTGGTTTGGCTGCAGGAAGGTCTGGAGAGCAGATCCAGGGATGAAATTCAGTAAAAATTTGTTTTTTTTTCCCCCTATTTTCTTGAATTATCAATTGTTTTATCCGATGTTAAACCAAACACCCTATAAAATTATAGAGTCATTAATCCGATATTGCACAAAACATCTGATTAATTTAATCAGTACTTTTCAATGACTATTTATCCTTTCCACTAAAATAGTCACAAAGCCTTCTTCTCCGTCGGTTTTTCTTTTTCGTTTTTCTTTTCTTTTCTAGAACTCTGTATTCCCTTCCTCCTTCCGTTTCTTCATCTGTATTCCCCAAATTAGTCAAAGTGCACAGATTGATAATTACAAAATGGAGACATGCCTCATCTTCAATTCTCAATTCCTAATTTTTCCCCCAAATTTCCAATTCCCACCAAAAACTCCAATGCTGCTCCTTCCAAATCCATCGGCGGCCATGGTGAGTTTTCCCGTCCGACAACCTCTCTCTCTCTCTCTCTTTCCTTTGTTTTCTCATCTAAATCCATCTGGCCAAATCCTTCTCTCCCCCAATTCCGCCGGCAGCCATGGCGAGTTTTCCCGTTTGGGTGGTTCTGATTCTAAGATTTTTGGGGGTTCTGGGTCGTAATCGGATTCTGGGTAGCTCTGCACTCCTTTGCGAGGTAAGCTTGTGGTGGTGGCTCGAGGGATTCTGGGAAGACAAGAGGCAGTGACATAGTCCTAGCTAATACCAAGGTTTCAGTCGGGACTAGCTAGCGACGCTTAGCGAAGTCCGGAGTGGAGGCGAGTCCGACATAGCGCCATTTAAGTTAGTCCCTTGCTACGCCAAACACAGGACTACACGGACTGTTAGTCCCGTCCTGTCCAGTGAGTGCTAACGATGTCAGACAAACGTGATTTGGTGTTGTGGGTGTTTATGATGCCGAATATGTGTTTTTCGTGTGGAGTTACAACGATGATGTTCTGTTCTGTTCTCTTCTGTTCTGTTCTTAATCCGTTTGTTGCGTTTTGTTTGTTCTAGATATAAGAATCAAAATGTTGCTGTAAAAATTGTTCATAGAGGAGAAACCCCAGAGCAGATTGCCAAGAGAGAAGCGCGGTTTGCGAGGGAAGTGGCAATGATGTCGAAAGTGCGGCACAAAAACTTGGTGCAGGTTGTTGTAAAGTTTTCGATAAGTATTTGTGATGACTAAATCGGCGTATTTGAGATATCTGATGCGGGATTTTTAACTTTGTGACAGGTACACGAAATTCAATTTCATTCCTTACAGGGGCCAAATGGGAGAATCTTCTGATGAAGCTGAAAAAAATAATGACCCGAAGCTTTCAAATGGAGGAGAAAGTAAGAAAATCCAGGAGAAGCCCCAAGAAAACGGCAATCAGATTCAGAAAAATGAGAACTTTTCAGGCTGTTGCCAAGTTGCTAATAGTAATGGATTTACATGCTGCAAAGAAGTAAGTTTGGAGCAGAACGGTGGAAGTGAGGATTTACATGCATAATCTGCTCTGTAGCCCTGTTCCTCGACTGCTTGTTTCTCGAACCATAATTGGAACAGTCTTTCAAGAGAAACAACAACTCCCGTGCCGTGGCTTTAGCCGTCCACGTCCCATCCATGCTCAGCTGAAGCAATCCAGGCATTGTTCCTTCCTCAGAATCAGTCCTCTGTACTTCTCTCTGCAGCTCTGGCATATAAGCAGGAAGATACTTGTTATCTGCTCCTTGCATTTCATCGATTCCTCTTCAATGGTCTCAACCAGCCCCCAGATTGTGTCGCACGTACCTGCAGTTTCCTTGAGCGCAGTCTTCGATGAAGAAACAATGTCGTCAAATAGCGCAATTGCCTCCTCAACTAGTTGGCTTGATTTTTCCAAGCCGTGGGTTATTTGGAACAACGAAAACACTACGCCCGAAGAGACGGAGACAGAATTGTCTGATGGCAGGTCGAGAGGTTGTGTAGTGTGGCTTTGCTGTCGAATAGTCTGATCGAGAAATTCAACTATTAGTTGGATGCCTCCGTGTGATCCAATTGGTAGCTTGTTTCCCTAGCGGATGAAAAAAGCTGCTATTGTGATTTCGATCATCGCCTTGCTTTTGCAGCTAAATTGATCCTTATTTTGAGCATGTAAATTACTTATTTTACGACATTGATCGTTTTGATGTAATGCTACGAATGTCCTCTCTTGGCTAAATTTAGTTAGTTACTGTTAACAAAGTAAAGATAGTCATTTAATTAGCCTGTTGGAGCTTAATTCTTCTGCATCTTTTGTTAAGATGGGTTGTTGGAGATGAGGACTCTTCACATTCATAATATCTAGACTGACTCTAACCGTTGGAATTTGCTTTGCACCGAAGATTCTTATAACGCTGTCGTGACGTCAAGTCAATTGGTCAAAGTTGGGCGGCAGATTGCTCAAAAAACTCCAAAGAAAGGAAAAACACTCTTGCAAAAAATTTAAAAGGGCCCCCGAGACTGGGGAATCTTCGGAGATTTGACTTTGGTTATTTGAGAGCCAAGCTGCTCTTCTACAGCTGCAATGGATACCAGCAATTCAGCCCATGGAGCCGCCGCCGCCTCTTCTTCGTCTTCCTTGCGGCGCCCAAACCGCTGGAAGTATGAGGTGTTCCTGAGCTTTAGAGGCGACGACACGCGCACTACCTTCACAGACCACCTATACATTGCATTACTCAAGGCCGGAATCAACACTTTCATAGACTACCAGCTCAGAAGAGGGGAAAACATAGAGAGTGAACTTGACCAAGAAATTGAAGGGTCGAGGATCGCTGTCATCGTCTTCTCGAAGAGGTACGCGGAGTCCCGGTGGTGCCTGAGGGAGCTGTCGAAGATCATGAGGTGCCTAAAAGATCAAGAGGGGAAAATAGTGTGTCCAATATTCTACGACGTTGACCCTTCTCAAGTCAGGAAACAGAAAGATAGTTTTGGGGAAGCATTTCAGAAGCATGAAAAGGATGAAGATCCAAATGAGGTCAAGCAGTGGAGTAAGGATCTTAAGGCTTCTGCAGATTTGGCCGGCTGGAACCTCAAAACCACGGCCGACGGGTATACTTTTTTGTTTACTTCAAATTTCATATCACCATATTTCACTAATCAACCAAAATTACGATATTATAATTAAGGCATTGAATCTGATTTTATTTGTGATGAGAAAAATTGGATCGTTGATCTCTGAACTATGATATAACTGTAATTTTGGTCCCTACATAAAAATTTATTACAATTGGTATATGAATTTTATAAAAGGTAGAGCATTTGCATAAGAATTTCCGTCGAAATTAAGAAAGTGAAACGCAGGGTACATGCTTTGTTTTTAATGGGTGTGTTGAAGGACAAATGCTCCACACTTAATCAAATTAAAATACCAATTGTAATGGATTCTTAATTATATTACTAAAAGCTACAATTGCATAATAGCCCAATCACCAATGATCTAATGTATTCACATTATAATCAAAGATTAGATACATGGTTGAATTGAGCTAATTAATCCAGTTTATTCAAAACTGTTTCAATATGTAAATATCTAGTCATTATGAACAAGGCATTTAGTATGGATCTCGTAATTTGGAATTTCTACTCGTAGGTGTGAAGGAGTGTTTATCGAGAAAATTGTTGGGGACGTCAAGGGACTACTGAAAACCACAGACTTTAAAGAAGCCAAGCACTCAGTTGGAATGGCTTTTCGCGTGCAAGAATTCAGTACTAAATACTTAGACGTTGGAGGTTCACCTAATGTTCAAATTATTGGAATTTGGGGTATGGGCGGTATAGGTAAAACAACGCTTGCTAGAGCAGTGTGTATCAATTATCAGCAGAGTTTTAGTCGTCAATGTTACCTTGAAGATGTGAGGAGTAAAAAGAAAGAGATGGTTAGTATGCAAGAACAACTTCTTCGAGATATTTTAAAACAACCTGACATTAAGGTAAGCAGTGTTGCCGAAGGGACCAAAGAGATAAAAAAAAGACTTGGAAGCATGAAGGTATTTGTCGTGGTTGATGACATAGATGATGTAGACCAATTAGATGAATTGGCAATAGAACATGAATCGTTTGGTCCAAGGAGTAGAATTATTATAACAACAAGAGATGAACATGTGCTGAATATACAAAAGGTGGATAAAAAATATAAGGCACAAGCAATGACAGAGAAAGAAGCTCTTGAGCTCCTTAGTTGGTATGCCTTTGGAAATGATTATCCCGATAAAGAATATATTGAATTGGCAAGAGATATCGTTGATTACTGTGGAGGATTGCCCCTAGCTCTGAAAGTTGTTGGTCATTTGTTGGCTACGAAAAAGAATAAAACCATATGGGAAAGTACATTGGATAAATTGAGAAATATTCCAGATGGAAAAATTCATGAAACGCTTAAATTAAGCTACGATGGGCTATGTGATGATCATGTGAAGGGTGTGTTCCTTGACATATCTTGTTTCTTTATTGGACTGGGGATAAGTTTTGTCACGTCAATATTGGATGGTTGTAGTCGTTTTTCTGTAGAAGCATAAATTACCACACTTTGCGATCGATGTCTCTTATATATTGGTGAAAAGAGAGAATTGAGGATGCATGATTTGATTCGAGATATGGGAAGAGAAATTGTGCGGGCAGAATCTCCTGTGGAACTGGGAAAACGTAGTCGATTATGGCATAGTGAAGATGCAAAAAGCGTGCTAAGGAATGATTCGGTAAGTACTTTTGCAATAAAAAAATGTTATGTTAAGTACATGTAAAGAAAGAGAAGTTTATACGCATATCCGCATATATATAATGTATGCCGTATATTTGAAGACAAAAAAGAAAAGAAAAGGCTTTCATCCACTGTAAATTGCAAGAGAAAATACATAATTATGTTGTATGCCCTACCTTTCTAGTAGTTCATTCATCCCATTCATGGCTCTGCTTCGTGTGAATATTATCCTTATCTTGTTTTTTTTTTTTTTTTTTTTTTTTTTTTTTTTAATCTCTAACAGGGAACAGAAGCAGTTGAAGGACTAAGACTATTTTATCCAGAAGATTCTGATGACGAGCAAAGCTTCAGTACGGAAGCGTTTAAGAAGATGTGGCGTCTGAAATTTCTTCAGCTGGTAAATGTAAAGCTGACTGGAAGCTACAAACATCTTTCCAAGGAGTTAAGATTGTTGCATTGGAGAGGATTTCCGCTTGAAGCCATACCAGCAGATTTTGATCAACGCAACCTAGTTTGTTTAAGCCTGAGGTACAGCAAGATTGTACGAGTTTGGGAGGATTTGGACCTGGTACGATATAATTATCAATATCCTTGTAAATATCAACATCAGCCATTCTCTCTTTTATTTATTTGGATTTTTATTATTGTCTTCTCTTTTTGAGTAACAGTTGCCTAAGAAGTTGAAGTATCTCCTTCTTAGAGACTGCCATAACCTGACTGAATTACCAGACTTTTCAAAACTCCCACATCTCAATATATTGGAGCTCAGTGGCTGTAAGGGTTTGTGTGGGGGTTACCATTTTTTAGCACAACTGAAGATGATTGAGGGATTAGATCTCAGCGACTGCAATATAACAGATGGTGCCATTCTCGAAATAATTGGGAGTCTATCTTCTTTAACATATTTAGGTCTAGCTGGGAATGGTTTTAATAGGCTACCCATTCTCAGTGGCCTTTCTCAGCTTCAGTTTTTATGTCTAAATCATTGCACAAACCTTCAGGCAATCCCAGATTTGCCGAACAGTTTGCTTCGACTGAGCGTGAATTACTGCACTGCACTGGAAATAATGTCCGACTTTTCAGAGATGTCGAAAATGAGGGTATTGGAACTGAAAGACTGCCGCAAACTCAAAGATATTCCAAACTTGGAGAACTCGTTGGACTACATGGATTCCATAATTTCCATTCAAATGGAAGGGTGTACCAGTCTCACTGATACTTTTAAGGAGAAGCTCCAAAAGGTATGGTTCTCTCTCTCTCTCTCTGCTTTTTGTATTGTTGCTTATACTAACTTTGCACCCCATGTTGTAGAAAGGTGCATTTCGTGGAATTTTTCTCTGGAAATGATATTCCTAACTGGTTAGCCTATGTCGCGAGAGAGGGTGAAACTGTCAAATTTAAAGTGCCACCAAGTATTGATTATATAGGAGGGTTGGCTTTGGGCATCGTTTATTCTTCAGACAACTCCGACTCTACTGGGTCTTTATGTATTGATGTTGTTAATCGTACCCAGCGAACTCATTTTTGCATCTGGACAATGGAGGCCACCATAACTGCTTCCCAGGAATATTATCTTTGGTTGGCAAATCTTTCAAACAAGAAGCTCAATCTGAAAGGCAACGACAAGGTTCTTGTAAAAGCAGAATTTTATGGAGGAGACAATAGAATTACGGTGAACAAAACAGGAGTGGATATTGTAAAATGGGATTTGTCTGATGGTGGTACTCATTGGGAGGACTTTGAGACTATGTCATATGAGTCTAATGAAGACACTACGTCATATGAGTCTGATGAAGACACTAATGACGATACACAATTGAGCATTTGCCATGTTTTCCTCTGCTACAACACCCCCGAGGCCTGGCCGTGGTGCATCGAAGGCTCTGAGTCCGATCCACTCCCTAAGTTCTTTGCCTCCGCTCTCAAAGCTCGCAAGAATGACATCACTGTTAAGGTCCGTTTTCCAGCTCAATTCGTCGGCTTCCTGATTGCTTTTTATTATCGTTTCTTATTTCATGGAGCTATTGAGTTCTGGTGTTGAGCTGAACTGACTCCGTTACTCACTTTTTTCTTGGTTTTTGATAGACGTTGCTGATGGTAATTGAAGGACATGAAGGAACTAAGTTTTCCAATGGCGATGTGTTGATTTTCCCACAAATGATCAAATAAAGGTAAATTCGCGTCGATTTCTTGAGGTTTTTGTTCTGTAGTTGCTTTAATTTTAATCCGAATTTATAGGATTTAGATAATTAACCAGTGAGTGGTTAATTTTAATCCGATTCATAATGATGAACTGAAACCGCATTTGAGTATTTCTTAACAATACAACAATTAAAAGGATAAGTATATTAAGCAAGCTTGAGAGGTAAGCAAGAGAACAACAATGTCGCACTGGAGCAATCTGAAGCAATAACTTATAACTATTCAAGATGGCACATAAAAGCTTAACTTGGTGGATGAAAAGTTCAAATGGTGGTTGGATTATGGAATACTGAGAGTGTTGTCTTACCTATAGCTACATTGAAGAATGCCATGTAAGACATGAGCCAACCCACGTTCCCACCCGAGTGCTATTCAAAAACTGAGTCATATACTATTAAAACTAATACTATTGAAACGAATTATTTCCTTAATACAACCAACACTTCCAATATCAAAAGAGAAAGAAATAACAGTATATGACGCATTAGCAGAAATGACAGCAGCTAACTTCTGATATCAACTGCTAGAAGAAAAACCTTGACGATGCAAAACAACAATTAAATCGAAAAATTTTGTAAGTTTTAGTTATATTATGACTGACTGTTTATGTAAAAATGCTTCAGACCTAACTTTCCCTATCTGAAACTAAACGACAATCAAGATGGATTCCATTTCAGGGGAGATTCAGAGATCCCATATTTGAGACTCTGCACTAAAATCATTTCCAATGAAATTTTCTCTGCATTTGAAACTACTTTTATCTCATCCTCACTAAATCTGCCAGCACTGCATATTCCCTCAAAGTGTTCTCACCCAGCCGTGTACTCCATCACAATGGCTAGATGAAGTGGTGTGAGCAGAACCAGCGAGAAAGACACCGCACTACTTTCAAGTCTTAAACACAAACCTCTTTATCAATTATCTCAAATAAGCCACTCTAAAGACTATTTCCACTTCACAGTAAAAACAAAGTGCAGGAAGTATAGCTCATATTTTTAGCAGAGTTATTTTGACCACAATTCTGCAAGTGGTGGATTGCCCCGGTGGTAGGGCATTTCTCTTAGTCCTACTGCATCCCGGGCTCAAAGTCTAACCATCCCCCGTACCAGTTTAAGCACACCAGAGGCCAAATTTAATGTGTTCTGTCTTCATCCACCCACCCTCAGCAAATACTTACACAAAATTCAAACAGAACTTGCCAAATTCATTTTTAAAGTACAAAATGAAAATAGTTTATGATCACTGACCACTTTGAATCAAACGTTATTCCGATGCAGTGATCTTAGTCTGGTTTTCGATGTTAACATGTAAGAGAATGAATTCACATCCAAGAGTAAAGAATGAATTGAAAATTATTTGTTACCTTTTGAATAGGAAGGATGCAGCAGCCCCTGACAAATCAACCCATGAGCAGTGCAATTTATTTTCCTAGTTTAGACTGAAGTAATTTCTGTTTTGACTTCACTTTTGATTACGAGATTGTTTGAATTTACTGACCTAAGTAGATAATTAGATATGTGTTAGCTTCTGAAATTAGTTCTAGAAATTGAATTAATTGGCTCAGTTTACGTCTAATTCCTTGCCTTACAAGGAATTAAAGAGTGTTAGGTTATTGTCTCTTGTAAACTCCTTTTTGTGATTCTGAGGTTGTTTGTGTTTGTCGATCAAAGGGGCTTGAAAGAGTTGGATGTGGACAGCTTTGTTGATGATGTCCTTGTGAATGACAAACCATGGGCTTCTGGAGTGCAAGAGCCGTTGACTGGCTCCCATGTATTTGTATGTGCACATGGTTGTCGAGAGGAATGGAATCGTGATAGTGCACGTGTTCTCATTGATAAGTTCAAAGAGGAGGCTGAGCTGCAAGAATTGATGAATCAGGTATTTGTTGCTGCTTGCTTTCACACTGGAGGCCACAATGGAAACTTGATTATCTACAGCCCAGGATCAGATGGAAGCATAACAGGCCATTGGTAATATCCGGATCATAACAATTTAAAATTTTGTCGTATTGGGGTCGATGAAGGAGTTTGAATATTATGTATTATTAATTACAGGTATGGCTATGTCACTCCTGATGATGTGCCGGAATTGCTTGATCAGCATATTGGGAAGGGAGAGATTATAGAACGACTTTGGAGGTTTGTACGTTTTTGGTTTTGCCTACTGTCTTTGGATGAAAATTTCACTGGACGGAAGTTTGTGTTGTCATAGTTTTCAATTGCTGATTATGTCTAGTCTTGTATGATAGATTAATTGATATAAAGTTAAATTAACATTGAGGAACTTTTGTGGAGAAAGCACAAAAGAATTGGATATAAGTGCATTACCCTGTATATGTTTCTGAATTGGATGTAACTGCATTACCCTGTTTATATTTCTGATTAATTGTTGTCAGATTGTTTATTAAGCTTGATCATACCTGTTCTTACTCAATTGCTATTGAAGAAAAGAGTTGAATCTTTAAATAGCTGAACACGGAATTCAATTTCATTCCTTACAGGGGCCAAATCGGAGCACCTTCTGAAGAAGCTGAAAAATCTAATGACCAGAATCTTCCAAATGGAGGAGAAAATAGGAAAGTCGAGAAGCCCCAAGAAAATGGCTATCAGAGGGGAACAAAGCGAAAGCGAGAATGTCGGCTTGAGTAATGCAAACATTGGTGATAATCCAATGCCTCGAAAACCTATGGGTTCCTCCGCAAGGTTCGTCCACGGAGGGTGAGTCAGGGCCTAAGATCAGACCGAAAGGCATAATCGATGGACAATAGTAGCTGTAGCCTATAGCTTTTATAGAAGGTCAGGCTAAAACGCGCTCAAATCCTCCGAACCATGCTCTTACATGAAATGAGAAATCTAATAAACTGTTGAATGGTTTTATCTTGATTGCGATTTCTTATGAGACTGCTTGCTAAATGTTGATGTGGTATTTTCTAAGCTCATGTGAATGTTTGATTTGCCTGCTGGACTTATATTTCAACTGTCGATTATGTCAAAATTTATGGTAATTTTTGTGAAAGAAATCTCAATTTTGTTGTTTATGATTTTCGAAAGAGAGAATCCTGTTGTTTGGTCAATAAACGAGATACATGACTGTGTGCTAGCATCTTAATCTACTTGAACTATTTTTCAAATATACGGCATTGTTGTCATGAATTTTACCTTCATTCTAGGATATATTTTTTTTTTTTTTCTTATTGTGGTTGTCAAACTCAATCTTATGTGGTACGTCAATTATATCCGTTAACTCAATTTATTTTTCTGTTAAATATAGAGGGCATAGCAAGGATTTTGTACTTCCACCTCCTCTCTTTTTCTTTTTTTTTTTCCCTTCATTTTTTAGGTTGTGGGATGAATTTTAAGTTTATCATCTCATCTACTTAATAGAAAAACAGACGAAGTTGAGGAAAATGATATTAAAAAAAAAAAGGTCATTTTGGTTCCGGTTCTTAATAAGCCTAATTGTTAGTCTGAAACTTTGTTTGTTTAAATATTTTGATTGAGGTCCTTAACATCATTTAAAAGATTTAACTCATGCATTTAACGTCTCACAAATTATGAAATTTAAACAAATTTAAAGAATATTTTTAAAATATAATAAATATTTAAAAATCAATAATAGAGTAATGTTGTTCTTCACAAAATTATAGCAAAAAAAATAATGTACCCACATAGTTATTAACATATTTTAAAAAATAACTGTTGATATATTTTAGAACATAAAATAAATACATATAATTAGCATGGGTACATTTAGCGAAATTAAAAATGGGTACAAATAAATTAAAAAATATGGGTACTGTGACATCCCACATCGCCCAGGGGACTGATCCTTATATGTATATTCCATCTCTACCTAGCACGAGGCCTTTTGGGAGCTCACTGGCTTCGGGTTCCGTAGGAACTCCGAAGTTAAGCGAGAAGGAGGCTAGAGCACTCCCAGGATGGGTGACCCTCTGGGAAGTTGCTCGTGAGTTCCCAAAAACAAAACCGTGAGGGAATGGTAAGCCCAAAGCGGACAATATCGTGCTACGGTAGTGGAAGCGGGCCCGGGAAGTGATCCGCCCCGGGTCGGGATGTGACAGGTACAAATACAAATAAAAATTTTAAAAATATGGGCACAAAAAGAAATTAATATATGGGTACAAATTAAAACTAAAAAGAAAATTGGTACAAATTAAAAAAGGGTTGCAAATTAAAAATGGTTACAAAATAAAATTGAAAACATATGAATAAAAATTAAGTCATAAATATAAATACACCATAAGTAACATTTCTAACAATAATGAATATATTTAGGAATAAAAAATATTTTGTTATTGAAATAATTAATGACATTTATTAAAACCTAAGGACCTTGATCGAAAATTGAAAAGAAATAAGGTTTTAATCAATGGAGTAGCAAAAAGAGGGATGAAAACTTAATTTCTCCTAAAAAAAATAGTCATGCTATAGCGAGGTTGAAGATCATATAACATATGCATCGATAATATTACCAATTCACAATAGTCATAATTGTCCTAGATGAGTTTTTTATATTTTGTTGCATGATAGCCTTGATCTCTCTCTCTCTCTCTCTCTCTCTCTCTCTCTCTCCCCTTGTCGTATTGTTGCTTGTACAAACTTTGCACGCCATGTTATAGAAATGGAAGGTGGGGGATGGATTTTGGTGGAATTTGTCGCTCTTGAAATGTTGTTCCTTAATGGTTAACCTATGTCGTGAGAGAGGAAGAAAATGTCAATTTTGAAGTGCCGCCAAGTTTTGATGATATAGGAGGGTTGGCTGTGAGCATCGTTTATTCTTCGGACCATCCCAGTGTAGTGGGTCTCTATGCATTGATGTGGTTACCCAGCGAACTTATTTTTCCATCTGGTGAATGGTTGCCACCACAACTGATGCCCATGAAGATTATCTTTGGCTGGGAAGTCCTTCAAACAGGAAGCTCAATCTGAAAAGGGGGGACAAGGTTCGTAAGGTGAAGAAAACAGGAGTGAATTTTGTAGGATGGGAACCTTGTTTACCTTCAGAAATAAAAAATGTGAACTATGAGCGTGTACCATATGAGTGAGATGATGATACTGATGAGGAAGACTATCAGACTATACCATATGAGTTTGATGACGACACTGACAATGGTACAGATTTAAGAGACCACTCATCTGATGAGGTCTGCAAAACATTAAGGTTTGATCTTAATATTGAAAGCTTTGACGATGAAGAAACAACAGTGAATTGCAGGAAAGCGCAGTAAAGAGACTTGTAAGGAAGGTACGTAGACATTTACTACAAAATGCCAAGGAACTGATGCAATTATGAAGCATGAAGCAACTTGTTTATAAGTCTTACCCAATCAGGTCATATTTCCCTATGTTTTTCCTCTGTAAAGACCATGAAAACGTGATTTTACGTTTCATTTTCATTGCTTCTAATAGTAATATTAGAGGTTGGGCCGAACCATGCTCGCTAGTTTGTGGTCTGTTTAAGATTTTTCATATGGCTCAAAGCAGCGGTTCATGGAGGAGCATACGCCACTTCTTTTTCTTTTCGGAAAGCATCGTTAAGTGGTTTTTTAGAAAGTACTTGAATTTCTAATGAAGATTTCAATGTGGTTAATAGAAGCACTTCTAGCTGAAGTGCTTTCTAGAGAAGCAATGACAACGAGCCCTTAATTAAAGATATAGCTTATTTTCTTATCAAATCAGTGACATTAGATAAATTTACATGTAAGTGTGTGTCTTACACGTCTTATAAACATATCTAAGGGGGTGGCTTGCGTTGGTGTATTTCATTAACATACATATATGGTGGTGCGTGAGAGACTGGCTGCAATGCCATGTCTCTTGGAATTGAATATATATATATATATATATGTATGGTGTTGCTTGCGTGTATAATGAAAGAAAGGCTGCAGTGATGTGCCTTTTGGCTGCAGTGCCGTGCCTTTTCTTCCCATTTGGCGTGTCTCTTAGATTGAAGAAGCATGACTGCAGTTGCTGTGTAGCAATAGGATTGCACCTTTTCGGAAAAATGAAAGGATGCAGCAGGGTGAGACTTTGATTAAAAGATGCATACATTCGGTGGTAATGATGCAGGAAAGAACATTACTTTTTATATGCACACTTTGAGCCATCTTCAAAGGGTTCCATAGATTCTGTAAATAGCTCATGTTGGCTGCATATTTGGATATACAATTTTTCAAACAATAGTTTCTTATCCTCTTTCTCTCCATCAAAATTATACAGTTTCCTTTTAGAAGATTTTAAGGCAATTTCAACTATTGCTAAACTAAAATTTCAAACTTTGTTGTATCCTGGAAGTGATTTGTAGACCTGTTAGCAAACTCATATTAGAGTGGGGACAAATATCACTTTAAAGAAAACGTATTAACATGCCTCAAAGTCACTCTTCTGTCCAATTCTCAACCTTATTCTAACAGCTTGAGAGTTCCATAACCCACCTCATTTCAAGGAAATTTCTCTCTTCACCTTTCATATATGTAAGTGTTCTTGACTGTTACGTGTGAAAGAGGCAATCGTGGAGCGACAAGAAATAACAATTTTCTTCGCAACCGGAACAAGCTAACAGCGGTCTTGACAGAACCCGTCTTTGCATAGAGATTCACTAATGCATTAGCTAAAGATACATCATAGTTGGATCCGTTCCTAACAGCAACACCGTGCAGACAACTTACAAGTCTAAAATAAAAACTGAGCACAAGCAGAAATAGATTACATCGGAGGCTTGAAAGATTGCCAAAAAGTCAAAGATGTTCCAAGCTTGGATAACTCGTTGGTAAACTTTGGTGGAATTTCTCTGCAAATGATTTGCCTAATTGGTTAGCCAACGCCGCGTATGAGGATGGAACTATCATATTTGGAGTGCCTTAAAGTATTGATTGCATGGGAGGTTTGGCTGTGTCCATCGTTTATTCTTTCGAACAACGACTCGCTGTCTGTTGGAACAGAAGATACTAGTAAATTTTACCCGCACGTTGTTGCGGGAGCGAAAATATAACTATAAGAGTATGTTTTAACATGTAAATATGCAGAGTGTTATAAATACTAAACAGAAAATGGAATAAATATATTTACAAAGCTGTCAAAATTTATATAACTTACAGAAGACATTATCAAACGCCTTATTAGTATACAAAACTGATTAACCTAGTATTCCACCTTGATAATTCATGTTTGGATCAACTATTTACACACAAAAAAATGTGATCCCATACTTGATTGTTTTGGATAACAGATGCCAACATCCTTTAACACATGAGCAAAAGTTTTTTGGTTGAAGCAGTCACTGCAGAAAAAATAGTTTTGATCATCAGATAAAAAATATAAAAATAATAATAATAATAAATAAATAAAAAAGAAGCTAAAAATGAAAGAAAATGTTAATACACATGTAATAAATAGTTTGAAACAACCAATAATAAACAACAGTTACCAAATAGAAAACAAAGCTTACAACTTAAATAGAAAAGAACAATCTACTGCTGCAAGCAACATAACGTCCACTTTGCAGATTTTTGTGGAACCACTTTGCAGGTTTTGTGGAACCACTTTAAAAAATTCAAATCTTTAAGCACCTGATGATAAGTTGAGAGATTACTTTTTGATTATCAAAACCACTACTGGATTTATGCAGATACAAAATCTCACAATATTATAACCACGACCTTATGCATAATTGGAACAACACCATAATCATTTGTCTACCAGAAATCAACTCTTCTACAGCAGCTGCAAGTGTAACATTATGTTGTGAAAAAAATCGTCTTTAATTCAAACCATGTCAGAGACCAAAAGTTAAAATTAGTAGACTCCTTTGTTTGGTGTCACTCAAAAAGTGAATAATCATGCAAATACTATTAAAGGTCTATGGGCTGCTTACTGTGGTGTGGCCACTGTCTGAAGCAGCAAGAACCATTCTGACTTAATACTCCACATGTTTTCTGGCTTAAGATTGGAAAGAACACACTCTCCAGTTCTGCCACGGAACAATTAATATGAATAAACATTGACAAAAATTGATAGTAACTTAATACCCCCAAAAAAGTATGAAATTGTGAGTCACAGTCGGAGTAAGAGTAAGACGAAGAGAAATATTATATTGTGAGACTGTGAGCAAGAGTGAAAATAAGAGTGAGAGTAACACACATAAATTCTACAAAGAAAACAAAAAAACAACAAAATCACACACACTGAGTGAGAAAAAGATTATATTGTGAGATTGGGAGTGTGAAATAAGGAAAATAAATTTTAAATAAAATTATTGCACTCTCACCGTTTAAAATTTGGCAGGAATGGACAATTTAATAAAAGAGCAAAAAATTGCACCACCAATGATTGTACAACAGGATTCTTTGGCTGCTTTCCTATGTACCAATCCTTATCTGCAAGCCATGAAAACCAACGTTATCAAACAAAGTATAAAATTGTTTTGTAAAACAGAAAGTAAATGTAAATTGATAGAAACAAAGGGAAAACCTACAATGCAGAAATTTTATTCATGAAAATTATCCCATTTTTTAACCACTATACAGCAGAACACAAAATCTATAACCAGCACATATTTCAACTTTATAATACAATTAAAAATAACAAAAGACTGAATTAAACTGCCAACACAGATCATATATAAAAATTTAAACCAAAGATGTCCAAAATTGTTTTAATTTCATAAATACAATTACAAAAACGCAAATATGTTTATAGATAGGTTGAATTACAAAAATAAGTTAATTGATAATAGTTCTCAAACAATATACATTTCAGAGAAGAAGAGCCAATTCTACATTATAGGTTTCCCCTGTCTCTGTCCATTTACATTAGCCTTTTATTTTACAATAGAAGTTTAGATTTGAATTTATGTGGTGGCAGTTGAGTGCAACATTTCATTATTTTGAACCATATTATATAGTCGTCCTGTATTCAGGTTATCCTTAATCCAACACAACACCATGTTATACTTGCAATCTCTGTCAAATAACAAACTTTAGAGCAAAAAGAGTCTTCTCCAATTGGGATTAAAAACATCCACCAAATGATTTCAGATCAGTCTCCAAGCTTGTAAAACATGTTTTTATGCAAACAGAACAACGAAAAGTACAAAAAACTTAAAACCAAATAAGTGGTTTTCTTAAAGGAGGAAATTGGAGCTAACACAAACAGAATGTATCAAATTAACAATATGCAATCAACGACCTATTTCATAGCAAAAACAGCTAAAGGCTTAGACCCAAATGAGACTAAAAGTTAGGAATTCACAAACCAAATTGAAAATCTAATTCCAAAATTCCAAACACCCACCAAATGGTTTCGGATAAAGTTACTAAAGTTGAATACATGTTACCGATACATAAGGGTACATAAGAATGAGAAGTATGAAAATTTTAAAACAAAGGGCCAATCGTGCTCTTTGGCAAATTACAATTTAAGTTTGGCTGCTTTTCAGCTTCACTCTACCCTTAGATTTGTTCTTCTTTATGAGTAGACCTTCCAACCCAACATCTATCCACAGATATAATTGTCCCTAGCTACACCAACACGAATCCAAAATCATATATATTGTCCAATGTAAACTAATTCTTAGCTAATTAACATGTTCAAATCCTTATTTTCTCATAATAAAATAACAGAAAATTAAACAACCCAAAAATCAAAACAACCCCACTTGTAGTTTTAGCTCACTAATCCATTGGATAAATTGATGCCAAATTCAATCAGAAAACATACAATTAACAACAACCCAGAAGAGCCATCCAAAAACCCAACAAATTAACCAAAAAATACCACTTGTACTTTTAGCTTAGTCTTCCAATTGAATCAGATATACCATCAAATTTCAATCAGAAAATAGAAAATTAAGAACCCAGAATTTTCACTCACCTGTTGTGAAACTCGTCCCTGTTGAGCAGCAGTAGGAACAGGTAAACTGGGTGATATATACAACCGATTAAAACACTCAACTTTAGCTGCTTCAGCTACATAACAGAAAAAGAAAAAAAAAATTAATTTAACTATAATTAAGTAATTTAGTTTAAGATATATATCTCATCCCCAACATTCATACCAAAATCAATATTGCACGGTATCTTATTCTCAATCAAATACGGTCCACCTACACGTTTCAAAATTCCTACAGTGTCAGTAATGATTTACGCTTTGTTTTGGCAAAAGGCTTTTTGCATACACTAACATTTTAGTCAACCAATTTACATGATAGGAACCGTAAATTGGCAGCACAACAAAAGAGGATCAACAAAAATCTCGACAATTACCTGATACTACCATTCCACTTCTTTTCAATTGTGAAGCACTATACATGTTTCACTACCAAATGCTCATATACATGATCAAACCTAAAAAATAAAAATAAAATTAAAAAATAAAATAAAATCGTTGGAGAATCATAAGATGAATGACTCACATGCTTTCTATCTTGGCAGCTTAGTTTCAGGAAGCGAATATGTGCACAATGGGACCGTCTATGCCTTCAGTTGAATGTGAGTTGAAAAGACTATTCGCAATAGCTTAAACCAACTCGGTCCCTCTCTTTATACATTCCTTCACTAATTCCTCCCTAAATACCATGAAAAAAACAAATCAGAATTTCACCCACTGAACAAAAACCCATCAGCATAGTGTGATAAATTCATTATTTCACTTATGAGTGCCACTTTACTGATGGGATTAATCCAAATAAAATCCCAATTTCCAAAAGTAAATTTTCAATTAATTTCTCAAAAGCAATAATTTCAAAAAGCCCAGAAGTATACAAAATATTACCAAAAAATAGAGATATATTGAATAAGTAAAGAAAAATAACTTAGAGAAGGGGATGGAGGGGAATCTGTGATGAGGGTCGAAGGCTATGAGATTACCCAGATCGACTTGAAAATGCTGCTGTCGGGTCTCCATTGCTGCTTTCCTGCAGTTGCTTTTCATCCTCTCCATTCGACAGTCCAGGTCTGCAACCCAAAAACATACAGAAACGATTAGCTTCGCGGTCGGATTATCAAATCATGCGGCTACAGGACCGACATGCACGCAAATAAAAAATTCATCAATTTGTTTTTTCTGAATCCATAATTCAGATTGGAGTTCGAATTCAACGGAAAAAAAAATACATAAATCCATCAAAAATTTTGCCCAGATGAAAAAAGAAATAAAGGATGAATTAGAAGCTTTTAGCAAAAGAGTTTACCTCAACAGGCCTCTCTCTACCTCTCCCCTGTAAATTCACCGAACCTAGAAAAAGCCATCTGTAAATTCAAAACAACCCGCAAAATCACAAATACAAAATTCAAAAAAAAAAATCCATGTGAACATCGAAAACCACAAAAACAAAATTTGAAACAGCAACACGAAGAAAGTCACGAAACTTACCAGAAGACTCTAGATTTCGTGGGTAAAAAACCGATCCTGATCGAATCCAAAAACTGATGAAATAGCCGATGAAATCTGTAGCCACCGAGAGGTTTTAAAATCACAAAAATTTGAACAAAGAAAAGAGAATTCAAAAACCAAACCCAAAACAAATATGCCGGAGAACTCACCAGGAAACCCAAGGATTCTGCAGGATTGACGATTTCCTGAAAACCAAGCTTTTTTAGGTTTAAACTTTCTTCCCAAAGGCAACAGATGTAACATTCTTGGAAAGAAAATTCGATCACGAATTGAAAAAAAAAAAGTGAGAAAGAGAGAGAGAGAAACGAACCTTCATACGGAGGCTAGCGATCCGGAGCTCGAGAGAGATCAAGAAATCTGTCGAAGCAAATGGAAGAACCCTGATTTTCCATCGTTCTTCCGTTCTAGGATGAGAGAAACGGAAAGAGAAAGAAAGAAGAGGAAAGTGGAAGATGCTGGAAGCACACAACACGAAGAAATCGAGAGATTTCTATCGCACAGCAGGGACAAAAACGGCATTTTACTGTATAATATACATAAAAAGCTAAACTTACAGAACAACTGAAGGGTAAAAAAGAAATAACATTGGCGAAACAACAGTATAAAGGACACAAAAGAAATTAACAGGAAAGTTAGACGTTTAGTATATATATAATTTATAACAGTTATATGTTCAAGGTGAAGAAAACAGGAGGGGATGTTTTAGAAATTGAACCTCGTCTAGGAATGGATATGATTGACTATGAGCGTGTAGACGATTGTGCGTAGGATGACGACACTGACGATGAAGTAGGGTTAAGCCATCACTCATCTGAGTCATCTCATTCTCATGAGGACAGACTTTGCAAAAGATGAAGATTTTTTTTTTTTTCTCTTTCTTGTTTTGGTAATGTTAGCATGAGTGACTTCTTTTATTATTGTCGTTTGAAGAAAATTGTATCGCAGGGGTGACTTTTATCCGTCTACGGTATCGGTATCATTTAATTTGAATGTTAAAAATGTAATGCAATAACGTTCAACTATAATTTACTATTTTAATAATGTAATTTAACGTCTACAACGTTAATGGCAAACTTGTTATTAGTAATACCTACATCATTTGGTGTAACTAAATATAACTTTGAGATAATTATGTAACCTTAGAGTATAAATTTGAACAATGCATGTTTATATCATATTGTAACACGATTACGATGTTGTAAAGCTTAACTTACTTCCTATTTTTTTAATGTAGATAAATATCGTTTGTTAAAAAATCAAAACATGATTCTATGTTTTCCAATCCAAAATATTCTATTCGCGCAGGCAAACCAAAGAACCTCACAATAAATAGTTTCAAAAAAAAAAAAAAAAAAAAACTCACAATAAAGTAGTCATTTTTCTTCTTTTTCCACTTTGTGTCGTGTTTGTCTCCCACTTCATGTAATTTTACATGTCACCGAGGCTTCCTGGAGAAGTATCTTCCCCCTCGACAATCATTTCGCTCCAGCTAGCTACATTAACTTTTTGACTGAGACTTGGGATATTTTGAAACTCCCTGCAGACTGTAGTAGTACCAATTATCAATGCATACCAGCAGCTCAGCCCATGGAGCCGCTACCGCCTCCTCTTCATCCTACTCGCGGCGCTCAATCCGCTGGAAGTACGAGGTGTTTCTGAGCTTTAGAGGCGTCGACACCCGCAACACCTTCACAGACCACCTCTTCATTGCGTTACGCAATGCTGGAATTAACACGTTTATAGACAACCAGCTCAGAAGGGGGGAAAACATGCAGAGTGAACTTGACCAAGAAATCGAAGGGTCGAGAATCGCCGTCATCGTCTTCTCGAAGAGGTACGCGGAGTCCAAGTGGTGCCTGAGGGAGCTGGCCAAGATCATGAGGTGCCGAGAAGATCAAGAGGGCAAAATAGTCTATCCAATATTCTACGACGTTGATCCTTCTGACGTCAGGAAACAGGGTGGTGGTTTTGCGGAGGCATTTCGGAAGCATGAAAGGGATGAAGATCCAAATGAGGTCAAGCAGTGGAGAAAGGATCTTAAGGCTTCTGCAGATTTGGGTGGCCGGAATCTTAAAACCACGGCGGACGGGTATAGTTTCTTGTTCAATGCTTTTTACAAAATATAATTCCTTTTTACTAAATCCAATCAACAAAAATTAAGGGATTATTTAAACTCGGGACGCAGTGGTTTGTGGAGGAGACCCGAAATACCAAGATAATCCACCACTTGCAATTGGCGTATTTAATTTGAAAATGCTTTATAGTTTTCAAAAATGATGAATGTAGTTAAATACTTAGTACTCATTAGTTTCGAAAGGGTTTCATTTGGTGTCTACGATTAGCTTGGATACGATAATGCACCAAAATCACTGAATCTTGAACGAAGGAATGAATGCAACTTCCAAATTTTGACCAAGTCAAAAGATTAAAAAATAAATAAATAAATAAATAAAAAAAGCTTACCCATAAGTTTCATTTTTGCTTAATCTATTGGACAAAATTTGAAAGTTGCATCCATTTTCTCATTCAAGATCAGTTGAATGAGTTGTCCTATATGAGCCAATCCTAAAAACCAAACGGGGCCGAAGAGATTATAGTAAAGGCTTTAGAATTTGCAATGTTAGATATGTGGTTGAATTGAGCTTTACTCCGAAGTAGAACGAGAGTAGTACTAGGATGGTGACCTCCTGGGAAGTCCCCGTGTTGCATTCCACCTTTTTTTTACCACAAGCTATTCATATGGATCAATCTAATTAAATCAAATTGTTTTTGCTTTACTTTTGAATAATTGGAAATTTTAATTGTCAGGCGTGAAGGATTGTTTATCGAGAAAATTGTTGGGGACGTCAAGGGACTACTGAAAACCACATACTTAAAAGAAGCAAAGCACTCAGTTGGAATAGATTTTCGTTTGCAAGAATTCAGTACTGAATACTTAGACGTTGGAGGTTCACCTGATGTTCAAATAATTGGAATTTGGGGTATGGGCGGTATAGGTAAAACTACGCTTGCGAGAGCCGTTTTTAGCAAATATCATCGTAGTTTTAGTCATCAATGTTACCTTGAAGATGTGAGGAGTAAAAAGAAGGAGATGGTTAGTCTGCAAGAACAACTTCTTCGAGATATTTTAAAACAGCCTGACATTAAGGTAAGCAGTGTTGCTGAAGGGACCAAGGAGATAGGAAAAAGACTTAGAAGCATGAAGGTACTCATCGTAGTTGATGACATAGATGATGCGGACCAATTAGATGAATTGGCGATAGAACATGAATCGTTTGGTCCAGGGAGTAGGATTATTGTCATAACAAGAGATGAACAAGTGTTAAATATTCTTAAGGTGGATAAAATATACGAGGCACAAGAAATGACAGATAAAGAAGCTCTTGAGCTCCTTAGTTGGCATGCCTTTGGAAGTCATTGTCCTGATAAAGAATATATTGAACTTGCAAGAGATGTTGTTGATTACTGTGCAGGGTTGCCACTGGCTCTTAAAGTTGTAGGGCGTTTGTTGGCTAAAAAAAGTAAAAGCATATGGAAAAGTACATTGGATAAATTGGGAAATATTTTGCATGGAAAAATTCATGAAACGCTTAAAATAAGCTATGATGGGCTAAGTGACGATCATATGAAGGGTGTGTTCCTTGACGTATGTATTTTCTTTGTTGGATGCGATATAACTGATGTCATGTCAATATTGGATGGCTGTAGTCGCTATTCTGTAGAATCAGATATCAGCACCCTCCAAGATCGATGTCTTCTAGATATTGATTCAGAAGACACACTGAGAATGCATGATTTGATTCAAGACATGGGAAAAGAAATTGTGCAGGCAGAATCTGTTGCAGAACCTGAAAAACGTAGTCGATTGTGGCATTGTGAAGATGTAACAAGCGTGTTAAGGAACGAATCTGTAAGTACTTTCCCAATGAAATGTTTTTTACGTTGTTGAATGCATGTAAAGAAACAGAAGTTTATGCATATCCCACATCTAACGCCTTGTATGCCCTACATATATAGTGTATGTACTTCTAATTGAGAAAAGAAAAGAAATTGTTTTCATCCAATAGTGCTTGTTGTGGAGAAACAATCTTTCCCTTCTTAACTTGTTCCTTTTTTATTCCTAGCAGGGAACGGAAGCAATTAGAGGACTAATTTTAGAGTTGCCAGAAAATTCTGATGAGCATAGCTTCCGCACAGAAGCATTTAAGAATATGCGGCATCTGAAATTTCTCATACTCAAATATGTAAAGGTCACTGGAAGCTACCGTCATCTTTCCAAGGAGTTAAGATTGTTGTGTTGGCATGGATTTCCTCTAGAGGTCATACCCGAAGATTTTGATTTACGAAACTTAGTTCATATTGACTTGAAATACAGCAAGCTTGTACAAGTTTGGGAGGATTCAGACCGGGTATGATTCATATAATTGTCGTAACCTCAACCAAATTATTAATCCTTTCCTCCTCCGAGTTTTGTAAATACCAACATCAGTCGACAGTCATGCTTTCTCTCTAATTTATCTGGATTTTGATTTATTTGTTTTCTCTTTTTGTCCAACAGTTGCCGGAGAAGTTGAAGGTTCTTACTCTCGATCATTCCTGTAACCTGACTCAATTACCAGACTTCTCAAAACTCCCAAATCTCGAGGAATTGAACCTCGAAGGCTGTAAGGGTGTGTCTGGGGGTTACCATAACTTAGCACAACTGAAGATGCTTCATTATTTAAATCTCCGCGACTGCAACATAACGGATGATGCAATTCTTGAAAACCTTGGAAGGAGTCTATGTTCTGTAAGGAGTTTAATACTAGATGGAAATGGTTTTAATCGGCTGCCCATCCTCAGTGGCCTTTCCCAGCTTGAGTTATTAAGTTTAAATCATTGCACAAACCTTCAAGCAATCCCAGATTTGCCCACGAGTTTGATTACACTGGAAGCGAATTACTGCACTGCACTGGAACTAATGCCCGACTTTTCAGAGATGTTCAATATGGAGGAATTGCAACTGAAAGACTGCCGCAAACTCAAAGATATTCCAAACTTGGATAACTCATTGTACAACATGGTTACCATTCATATGGAAGGGTGCACCAGTCTCACTGATACTTTTAAGAAGAGCCTCCTAGTGGTATGGGACTCTCTCTCTCTCTCTCTCTCTCTCTCTCTCTCTCTCTCTCTCTCTGCTTTTCATATCGTTGCTTATACTAACTTTGCACCCCGTGTTGTAGAAAAGGAACGTGAATGCATTTGGTGGAATTTTTCTCTCTGGAAATGATATTCCTTACTGGTTAGCCTATGCCGTCAGAGAGGATGAAACTGTCCAATTCGAAGTGCCTGAAATTGTTGAAGTGCCGGCAAGTATTGATTTTATGATAGAACGGGCTGAGCGCTTCCTTAATTCTTCGCCAAGTATTGATTATATAGGAATAGGAGGGTTGGCTGTGTGCATCGTTTATTCTTCAGACCACTCCCACTGTACTGAGTCTCTATGCATTCATGTTGTTAATCGTACCCAGCGAACTCATTTTCTCATTTGGCGAATAGATGCCACCGTAACTGCTTCCCATGAATATTATCTTTGGCTGGGAAGTCTTTCAAACAGGAAGCTCAATCTGAAAGGTGGCGACAAGGTTTGTGTTCATGCAGAATTTTATGGAACAGAGGATGATCATAAAATTAAGGTGAAGAAAACAGGAGTGGATTTTATAGAATGGGAGCGTAATTTACCTTCAGGAATGGAAGATGTGGACTATGAGCGTGTCCCATATGAGTCTGATGATGATACTGATGAGGAGGACTATGAGTCTAATGATGATATTGATGAGGACTATCAGACTATACCATAGTTAAGCGATCACTCATCTGACGAGGACGGATATTGTGAGATTAAGGTTTGATCTCAATATTGAAAGCTTTGAGGATGAAGAAACAACTGGGAATTGAAAGAAAGCGCAGTAAAGAGAATTGCAGGGAAGCTACGTAGACATATACTACAAACTTGTTTATAAGTCTTACCCAATCAGGTCATTTTATTTTTCTTTTATCTTTTTTCCTCTGCGAAGTCCATGACAGCATGTTTTTACGTCTCAGTGTTTGTAAGAGTAATCTTTGAGGTTGGGGCCTGTTTGAGATTGTTCATATGGCTTAAAGAAGCATTTTATGGAGAAGCATATGCCTTTTTTTTTTTCTTTTTTTTTTTTTTTGTCGAAAACCATTCTTAAGTGGTTTTCGAAGAAAGTTGAAATTCTACTATAAAATCAATTGGGAGTATGAGAAGTAGCTCAACTTTCTTATAAGTTCAATGTAAGGTCTCTCCTCCTATCAATTGGGAATATGAAAAGTAGCTCAACTTACTTATAAGTCCATGTAAGATCTCTCCTCCTATCAATTGGGAATATGAGAAGTAGCACAACTGAAGATGCTTCATTATTTAAATCTCAGCGACTGCAATATAACGGATGATGCAATTCTTGAAAACCTTGGAAGGAGTCTATCTTCTGTAAAGAGTTTAATACTAGATGGAAATGGTTTGAATAGGCTACCCATCCTCAGCGGCCTTTCCCAGCTTGAGTTATTATTTTTAAATCATTGCACAAACCTTCAGGCAATCCCAGATTTGCCCACGAGTTTGATTACACTGGAAGCGAATTACTGCACTGCACTGGAACTAATGCCCGACTTTTCAGAGATGTTCAATATGGAGGAATTGCAACTGAAAGACTGCCGCCAACTCAAAGATATTCCGAACTTGGATATCTCGTTGTACAACATGGTTACCATTCATATGGAAGGGTGCACCAGTCTCACTGATACTTTTAAGAAGAACCTCCCAGTGGTACGGGACTCTCTCTCTCTCTCTCTCTCTGCTTTTCGTATTGTTGCTTATACTAACTTTGCACCCCGTGTTGTAGAAAAGGAAAGTGAATGCATTTGATGGAATTTTCCTTTCTGGAAATGATTTTCCTTACTGGTTAGCTTATGCCGTGGGAGAGGATGAAAACTGTCAAATTTGAAGTGCCGCCAAGTGATGATATTATATTACGGTTGGTCGAGTGCTTTCTTAATTCTTCGCGAAGTATTGATTATATAGGAATAGTACTGTTGGCTGTGTGTATCGTTTTTTCTTCGGACCACTCCAGCTGTACTGGGTCTCTATGCATTCATGTTGTTAATCGTACCCAGCGAATTTATTTTCTCATTTGGGGAATGGATGCCACCGTAACTGCTTCCCATGAAGATTATCTTTGGCTGGGAAGTCTTTCAAACAGGAAGCTCAATCTGAAATGTGGCGACAAGGTTTGTGTCCATGCAGAATTTTATGGAACAGAGGATGATCATCAAATTAAGGTGAAGAAAACAGGAGTGGATTTTATAGAATGGGAGCGTAATTTACCTTCAGGAATGGAAGATGAGGACTATGAGCGTGTCCCATATGAGTCTGATGATGATGAGGACTATGAGTCTGATGATGATACTGATGAGGACTATCAGACTATACCATAGTTAAGCGATCACTCATCTGACGAGGACAGATATTTTAAAATATTAAGGTTTGATCTCAATATTGAAAGCTTTGACGATGAAGAAACAACTGGGAATTGAAAGAAAGCGCAGTAAAAAAATCCGAAATATGTTGGTATACGCAGCAAGTCTCGACACTGTCCTTTTGGAATCGCAAAAACCACATAACCAATGAGCCACACGCTCACTATTTTCGAAACATGCAGATAATTATGTAAAACATGAATACCAGGATAGGCCCAGGCCTTTACCGGCCTTTATGTGGCTCCCCTACTGGTGAATTTGTAGGCTAAATTTCGGTTATGAACTCGAAAAACTCGAAAAACACAAAGACCATTTTGATATTTAAGACAAATATTTTTTAGTTAGGGTTTTGAACGCCATTTTTGTTTCGCTGTTATAAAACCTAGCTCCCCTCTTTCTCTATGATATTATTTGTATTGATCTCTCTAGCCTCCTCCTCCAGTCCTCCTTGAATTTGCTGCTCTCGCTCTGTCAAATGAGGCCCAAAAAATACAAACACATCTCCAGCGACCTCTTATTGGACATTCTCTCCAGGCTGCCTGTGAAATCTTTGAAACGGTTCAAATGCATCTGCAAATCATGGTATAATCTCATCATCAAAGACCCGGATTTCGCCATCCAACACCGCCTTCAGTCCGAAAGAGTTAATCAGCATCGTCTCCTTGTACAAGCCGGTGATCGTCACCTCTCCATGCTTTGTTTTGACGATATAACTGACGATGTTTCTCTCCAATGGCTAACCTTACCCAACATTTTTTATATCGGTTTAAAAATTATGGGTCCTTGCAATGGAATATACTGCTTTAGTAATACAGCGAGCATCCCGAATTTTATTGCAGTGCTGGCAAATATTGCACTAAGAGAATTCAAGGATGTTCCACACTTGAGCATCACGCGTCCTTCTGGATTTCCCTACCTTAAAATCAAAGTAAGTGGATTTGGACTTGATCCTAAAACCAATGATTACAAGATTGTTATGATTGAGAGGTACTTCGGTCAACTACGGCCATATTATGTCTATCGGGTTCAAGTATATAGCTTGCGCTCTAATTCATGGAGAAAATTAGATTCTACACTATTTAATGATAGCATGTGGCGTGACTCCCATATTAGCTCCTCTACTATATATGTCAACGGATATTGTCACTGGTTCGTGAGACATGATTTGACACGTTCCGATCCCGATATTCCCCGAATACCAGGATAGGCACGTGCTGGCCGACACCCGAGGGTGACGAAAGCCATTTATTGAGTGCAAATGCTGAAAACAAGGGGTGTATAAGGCTTATAAATATAAAAGAATAATTAATATTTAAATAAAGACCGTGTTCAGAGCACACCTCCAATCTAGAACACTAAAAGAAAAATAATATAACATTGAATGAAACAAAGGAATGGGTCCTACACCGAGAGGACTCGAAGATGCCGATGCGGAAGTGCCTGGACGTCGGGATTGTATGCCTCGATTCTAAGTCCTGAAGGGGGCGCAAAACAAACATGAGTGGACCAAGTTGATATGTATATATATAAAACAGTTATCAACATACTAACCCCCAAGTTTTATGAAAACACAATATATAATTATAAACATAGGTTTTCCGAAACCTAGCATGTCGTGCAATGTCTCAAATCATAATTCGCATAAATAATAAACACTAGTGAATGTCCGATATAACTCTTCAGGCCCCATGCCGGCTCCCCGTTTCTGAGCAGACCGTCGGAGGAAAATACACTTCAGGCCCCATGCCAGCTCCCCGTCTCTGAGCAAACAGTCAGAGGAAAACACACTCCAGGCCTATGCCAACACCAAACCGTCGCCTGGGATGGACCGAATCTATTCCTACGTCCCGTAGCGGAAAGGACCACTAGGTAAGTACAAAACCAGTGAATATACATATATTGAAAATCAACTTCATAGTATAAAATCATCCATCATCTATACTATAAAAAGATGTTCTAAACATGTTCTAAATATCATATCGTCATCCATCAGATATTCTATAAGAACATGAGTTATAGGAAAAATAGTAATAATTCAAACTAGCCTCACTAAGCATGTTATCTCATAAAACATTCCATAAAACATAATCATCAAATCATGTTTTTCATGTATGCATTTGTACTATCAAAACATGCATTTTTAGAAGGGGTCCACTCACAGTACTTCGCCGTCAAAAAGCCACGCCATCTAGCGAATAAGGAAACGCCACAGATAAACGCCCCTAAGCACATAAATGGTACATTTAGTCAAACTCCACTCAAATGACTGAATTTGGGAAAACGGACATCGGAAACGGGTTCAGGACGTCGAAATTAGCCTAGGAGGAGTCCCGTACGAAAACCCAAAAAAGTCAACGGTCAAAGTCAACGTTGACCGTTGACCTGTCAAAGTCAAGGATGTTCCACACTTGAGCATCACGCGTCCTTCTGGATTTCCCTACCTTAAAATCAAAGTATGTGGATTTGGATTTGATCCTAAAACCAATGATTACAAGATTGTTATGATTGAGAGGTACTTCGGTCAACTACGGCCATATTATGTCTATCGGGTTCAAGTATATAGCTTGCACTCTAATTCAAGGAGAAAATTAGATTCTACACTATTTAATGATAGCATGTAGCGTGACTCTCATATCAGCTCCTCTACTATATATGTCAACGGATATTATCACTGGTTCGTGAAACATGATTGGTTCGTGAGGCACGGTTTTAATGATGATCCCTATGTGATTCTTTCATTTAACATGGCTGATGAAGTGTTCCGACTGATTAGGGTTCCACAGTTACTGGATTTTTTGCCGAACTGTGATAGTAATATCCAAATTGCATTGTATAACAATTCTCTTTCTATGATTGTTTTGCATAAGCCAGAGAAGAAATCTGACGTTTGGATTATGCAAGACTACGGTAACGAATCCTGGACCAAATTAGTTTCCGTAGGGCCAATTGCAGGCGTCACATACCCATTGGGTTTTTGGAGAAATGGGAAACTTCTTTTCAAAAATTTTGAAGGCAGACAAGGTTTCTTGTCTTCATACTGTTAGACCTAGTCCTCAGTCTGTTAGGATTGAGTCTGTTTTGAAGTGTTCCGAATCTGTTTGACTTCTTGTTTATCTTGTATTTCTGGTTTGTACGTAGTTGGATAGGTTTAGGTTTGTATTTGTGGTTTTCAAAGTCTCCATGTAAATAGGGATTTGAATCCCTGAGTGTAATCTTCGCATGACTATAAATACATGCAGCCCTAGCTTAAAGGGTATGCAAAAGACGTGAACGTGAATATCCAGGTCTTGAATTTGTACATGGTACACAGAGCTCTCTAAGTCCAACGACATCGATCCAATTTTTTTTTCCGCCCACTACCTTTCATTATGTCGTCTGACACTAGCAGCAACAACACCACCACCACTACCATCAATCCAACCATCCCATTTTCCTCCGCCATGACCACCATTGTCAACATCAAACTCGATCGAACTAACTACCCATTGTGGTTAGCCCAGATTCTTCCTATCTTGAGGAGTCGTGATCTAATGGGGTACGTAGATGGCTCCTGTGTTTGTCCTCCTATGAATCTTCCTGGAAATACTGCAGTCAATCCGTCGTACACTACCTGGATGCAACATGATCAAATGATCCTCAGTTGGATCAATGGCTCGCTCACAGCCTCTGTGTTGTCAACTGTGGCAAGCAAACGCACGTCTCGAGCAACTTGGGA